AAAGTTTTTTTTTTTTTTTTTTTGCAGCTTTGATCTCTGGGAAAAGACGTGAGAGATGAGGGATGCTGGATTATTAGTATCTGTATGTCAAGGTGCATCAGATCTGGGATACCTGTGTACAGTCTCCCAGGAACAGCAACCTTCCTGCTGAATTTCTCCCAATTTTCCTTCTTTTCACTTACCTCCAAAAAGCCATCCCACATCCTGCCTGTCTGCCTCTTCCAGGTAAAGATTTGTAGAAGACTGAGGAGGACAGAAAAGGGCACCAGGGATAAACCATCCCAGCAGTCATTTTTTTTCGAGAAGCCTGGGAGCTGCTGGGTGAACTGGAATGGATTTTGGAGCCAGGCTGCAAAGGGGAAACAGAGCTCCTAAGTAAATGTCAGCATCCACCAAATGTGTTTTGTCCCATGAGCAGTAAAATGACAGGCAGGATGGGCAGCTAGTCCAAGAGGCCTAGATGCAAACAGAGAAGGGAGGGAAGGTGCGACAGGTGGAAACAAACCCAGCAACACAGGGGAGAGCGTACAAGGGGCTCAAAGAGAGAGAGAACCGGCACTCGGGAAGAGGACACTAGGTCAGGGAGACTAGAGACCAAAGGCACTCTCTAAAGGATGGGGAGTGCATGAGTGGCTCGTGATGGATGAGGAAGACGATGCTTGAGAGCACTTGTCCGTTCCCAGGCTCAGCACTCACAAAGGAGGCTGGGCAAAGATGCCAAAATATATGTACAACATTCTTAGGCAGAGATATCCGCTTTGTAGGTGTCAGGGATCCTGAGCAATCAGACATGCCACCGTCCTCAGTGGCACGTGCTTCACCAGGTGGGGATGGCACAGGCCTGTTTACCCGTAGCAAATGGCTCAGCACAGGCTGCAGACAGGTGCCAGTTACATCAGTGTCACTCACAGGGCTCGTGGGCCAGCGAGTGCTCCAGCAGAAAGCTGGAAGACAAGACTGAGGATTGCAATCAGAAATGCATGCTCTTAGTGTCACCTTGCCAGGATTTTTCCTCCTAAAGCAGCAAGAGGGCACAAACCTGTGTTTAGTTGCTGTAGGTCTTTGGAGGAGGGACGTGGCTGGCAACCTAATGTCAACAAGGACAGGATGTCATTATCAGTCGTAATGAGGCGGCATTTGCTTTTTTGCTGTGATTTTGATTATAGGTTTGATTATAGGATGTAATTGGAAGGGTTGTCCTGTAATCATTGCACAAGTTCACCCAAAGGCCAACTTTGACCTCTCGGGGGATTCTTGAACAATCAGCACAGACCTCACCTGCTGCTTACGTTAAAACCACGGGGCTATTCAGTCTGGGATAGTCTGCCTCCGCGGGTCGACTGCAGTATATATGGCTCTGGCAGTTCTAGAGAGGAAGCCATTCAGTGATTACATTCTTTGCCTTGTGATTGTAACGTTCAAATATTTTGGAAAATAGTGTGACTGCTGCTGCTCCGGTGCATTCAGAGGCTAAAAGTGACTCTGACTTGTGTAACTATTATGCCGTCTGTTTTTAGTGGACTGCACCTTTACCCTGCCCAGCACCTTGCAGACAAACAGGCAGAGCTACTGCCGCCTTGACAGAAGACAGATGTGTGCATGGGGCCCCTTCTCATGGAAACCTGACTTGGGTTTTTTCATGATCCTTTTTCTTTAAGAGAAATAAGCCATTTTCAGATGAACACATGGGGTATGGAAACACAACTCCCCTCCTGCCTTTCCTTCACTTCAGAAGCAAAGGGGGAGAAACTGGGAACACTTGTGAAATCAGTGGAGTGGGTGAAGCACGGTACTGGTTTTAAGCATTCACCCGCTCAGAGCCACCCGGGAGGCTCTAGCCAGGTACAGTGGGGCTGAATAAGCACAGCACTGGGAAGCAGTCGTACTGGTGAGGACTGGCAGACTTCTGGGAAGTCCATTTCCCAGAGGAACAGCAGAAGCCCTTTACCTCGATTCATTTGCTACTAGGCTGGAGAATGACATCCTGTACCAGGGTGGCCTGCCAGGTATTTCATGCCTCTGCCTTCACAAAAATGTACCCACCATTGCACCACTTTGCAGTACTTTGAAAGAGGTCGATAGAAATACTTAAGCAAATGCTTTAAATGTTTCTAAACGATGACTCAGATTCCAGATGTGCCCACATGAAATTCATGCCACCCGAGGGAGGTTTGGAGACTTCTCAGCAAAGTGGAACTTTTTTATGGCTCTATGATCAGGCCACAATAAAGTCATTAAATATTTTATATTGCACAAACCACTCTGGTCCTGCCACCCTGCCAGATTTCACTCTTTTCACAGAGCCTCTAATGCTACTTTCACAGTTTCATCCCATCGTGACGACTAAGAAATATTCCCCGCACAGGGGTCTCATGCGGAAGAGTTAATGGCAGAGCCTGAACTCTGTCTTTCTTAAGCAGGCAGCTGGGACCCTCCCAGGGGAAAGAGAGCTCAGCTTTATAAAAGTTGCTTCCTGTAACAAAGCATTTCAAAATGATTAACTTTTACCAAAAGTCATGGGGATTTTTTAAATGGCAGCCCTGTCTCAGCAAACGCTAGAAGCAATCTCAGCATCACGGACGGGATTGAACATCTGTTTGTCTCTGGAGTGGGGCTCAGTGATTAAGGCATCTTGTTCGCCTACCCTCAGCCAGTCAACCCAGCTGTGAATAGGAACCCAGCCACGTCCCTTCCCAGTGTGCCATGGTGCGTGTTCACAATGCCGACCTGATAAGCCAACTAGGTTCAAACAGACCCTGGGCCTTTTCCATTTCCTAACCACTCAGGAGCCTTCAAATGAACGAGGTCCCTGGCACACGTTAATTTTAAGATGCCACACGCATGGCAGAGGTGTGATTTTGGGATCAGATCGCAATCATGCTCTTTCTACTTATTAGTGCAGCTGGTTAAAATCTAGGTGTCCGTAGCCCAGCATGACCCAGTGCAGGGCCAGGGCTGGAGCCAAAAGTCAGCTGATTACTGGCCCTGGGGCAACCCCAGGCTGGCACGTATTCAGTTTAAGGCACCGCACAAACCAGCACTAAGGTTGGAAGGCGAAGCGCCAATCTTCTACATGACGTGGAACATTTTTGTGGTTGGTTTGCCATTTCATTTGATGGCACCTTAAACTGGGTGCACATGTAGCACCCTTACCACTTACGCTGTGATTAACACGTTAATTGCAAGATAAATGTAACGTGTAGGGGGACCCTGATACAAATTAACTGCTTCTTGCATGCCACTCCCTGTGACTCAGTTACTCCATCTGAAAATGGGTTAAGGGAGGTTTACTCATTGTGGTAAAGTGCTTTGAAAGCTTCAGGGAACAACCCAGTGACAAGAAAAGGAAAGCAAACTGATGCTGCCACTAAGAAGAGGTCTTTCATTGCAAGCACATCCCTGGTATTCATCTGCCTCACCCAGTTGCTACTGTGACTTCCTAGCACCTGGCAGTGCGTTCCGATTGAAACACATGCTGCTTAATGACAAAACCCACCTGGGAGAGCCCCTAAGTTACAGAGTGCAGTTTGTCCCACTAAGCTGATGCCTGGCCCCAGAGCTGAAATCACTTTTCTTATGTGGGTCCTCAAGAGCCCTCCCTCCAGTTGTTAGAGACGGGCCCTTTGCGAGCCCAGCTGGAAGGCGCCTCTGCAGTGCAGGAGCAGTGTGAGAGCAGATCGCACTTCTAAAGGCCCCTTGTTTCCTCTCCACAGGCCTGTCTGCGCTCCTGCTTCCAAGCTCAGATGGTCGAGAACTGCGAGTGCGGTCACTATCTGTTCCCTTTGCCCAAAGGGGTGAATTATTGCAACAACGATGATAACCCAGACTGGGGTAAGAACACGAGCAGAGCTTCCAGGGATGCCGTAGGAAGAGAGCAGGTGCAGGGGAAGCTTATTATCTGTGCTGGGGAATGAAACACTTGCTCGGATACACTTAGCAGTGACCTTAGCTGTTTGCTAACCAGATCCAGGCAAGGAAGGAGGGAGATCTCCCTGCTGTGGCCTGAGGCAGAGACATCTCAGCTCCCTCCTAGCTTAGCTGGGCAGGGACACAACACCACCACCCAGTAGGCTGACACTGGATGCTCCCCACAGAGGAGCAAACAGAAGACACCTGCCTCCCTGCACTTCAGGTTCCCTAGCATGGAGGGAGACCCAGGGCTTGTCCCCGTGTTTGTACAGATCTCCCCATCTGCCTCCTTCCTCTCCTACATGGTGCCACAAAGCACCTGCGATCCTCAGCACGCAACCATGTCTGCTCCGCCAAGAACGTCCAAGCATCGCAGCTCTCTTGCGGCAGAGCCTGCGGCAAAGGGCACATGACAGACACTATAGTCAGTGATCTTGCACGACAGGCAGAAGCCCATTGCATCTATTGAACTTGATAATAAACAGCTACCTAACCCAGTCAATAGGCCATTAGTAATAACTGTTTGCAGGTAATTGTCTGGTTTCTCTTAAATGGACTTTCCAGGCAACAGCAGGCTAAGGGGGAAGCTGATTTGTGCAACAAAGTGCTCATCTGAAAGGATTCTGTTTGCTTTTTATTTTTACCAAACAGCCTATTGCTATTCTTCACTGAGATCAAGTATAAGACACAGGCAGTTTTGTATTGACTCTTGTAAGGAAACATGCAAGTAAGTACATAAAATATCTCTGCCAGCTCTACAGGTGGAGGGACTGCTGCATTTCATCCTTCACTGAACTGATCTTCTTAAAATCTAAATGAATCCTTTGTCTGAAATCCAACTCACCTCCGGGTGATCCCAGAAGGGCAAGCTCTGTCTTAATGCTCCTTGTTTGCTTTCCAGTGACACACAGTACAAAATGACCATCTCGATGGCAGACTGGCCGTCTGAGGCTTCAGAGGTAAAGCCCGTTTCTAACTTTAAAATGGGAATTAACAACGTGATGTACTTCTCTCAGCATTTATGGCACTGGTGTTTATATAGGCAACCCCTCTTCACTAAACTGCTTTTTCCAGCCCACAGTCAAGGAAACTATCTCCAGCACATAATAGTCAAATGGGGAACAACCAGCTCTCCTCCCAAAGGATTTGGCCCAGCAAAGCTGAATCTGGTTCTACAAAGCAGATACTAAAGGCTCAAATCTATTTCCGCCTCCTTTGACCTAACTCAGAAGCAACTACTTTCAGGTGAATGGGGCGAGAATAAGGAGAAGGGAAGTCAGTGGCAGGCTAACCAGGACCATCACTGTTCATCATGTGAAATGTCCTCAGTGGAGTTCAAGTGCAATAGCCTACTCTTCCAGCGACCATAACACTTGTTTTTGTAGCTCGCTGCAGTGAGGACAAGTAGCCACATAGCCAGGCATTTCAGGAGTGCGGGGCAGGGGTCCCCCCTCCCAGGGGCTTGTGATCACCAGTGAAGGCTACTACATAAAAAACGTTGTTAGACCGACACGCTAACAGGAATGAAGGACACTAACAGCCTTAACTCTGCTCCTTCAAGAATGTGACAGGTCTCCAGGTGCACAAGCTCATTCTGGACCTCTAACGCATCATCATCATACATCGTTTTTGCAAAATCTTTGATACATGTGTGCTATCCTCTTGTCTGTCCTACTCTGCATATACAAGGCAGAAGTCCATTGCTGTCAAAAACTGCATGGTCAAAATGAGCTTTATATTATGTTGAGGGCCATCTCTAGCTCCCAGCTCCCCTCAGATCTGCATGACTGTTTGTCATAGAGGACTTCAAAGGGGTTTTGTATCCATGAAGTGATCAGGATTTAGCCTTGAGGGATCCCGGAGGCTGCCAGGAGCAGGAGATGGTAACAGACAAGTGAGCATCCTGTTCAGCTACAAGCCACGTTTATGGCTTTTGCCGAGCTAGAAACAGGTAAGAGCAATTATGCAAAGTGGAGCCAGTGCCTCAGGGACACGTTACATTGCTAGAAAATGCTCCTGCTGAACCAGCACCGCATCTGGCATCATCGCAAGTAAATGCCACCACGGATATGGGCTCAGTCCAGATCAGCGGAGCATGGAGGAGATGTGAGAACAATGAACAGGGCTGGCAGGGAGTTGCCAGCTAGCGCCAGGGGAATATGAGCTTGGAGCTAGAACAGCCGCTGCCTGCTGGAGGGGGATAGCGAGTAATTGTTACAGTTACCCTATACTACATCCCATTTTTCTCCCTACGTGGACCAGGTTAAAATATTGTATAGTGAGAACAGAAACCCTGATGCTTATCTAAGGACAAATTGTTTTTCGGTTGTTACCCAAGCCCTGTGCTCCAGGACCCCCTCACCTCCTCTCCCAAACTGTGGTGACTTCCCGCAGATTCAGGATTCTTCTCTCCTTTCTCTCGGTCTCCGTCCCTGCTGCACTTGCGCTTTGCTTGCTCTTGACGTCCATTCTCTTCTGAAAGGGTACAAGTGCACAGCAGGATGCTTGTCGCACAGAGAGCTGCACCGGCAGACACTGGTACCTGGACTACACTCCTTCCAGGGGCCTTGGTTACTAGTCTTTGCCATCACATCATCACTGCTGCCGTTCCTGTGCAGATGCACGTCCCCTCGACTAACACCCCCTTTGAAAGTTAACCCGAGTCTCATCTATTCTAACATTGCCATTAGTGCACAGCAGGCACCTCAGCTGCGCAGGCTGGTACCAAGCATCCCTCCAGAGGGTCGATCACTGAGAGGTCTTTCCCCAGTCCACCCCCCCACATGGCCTCACTCTGATGCACCGATGTGAAAATGTGACAGCTGGTAATGTGGACTAACAGAAAAGTGGGACATTGCAGACTAGCAATTGCTGGTCACATTGGCACGACTGTTCTCCCTGCTGTTTCTCTTGCAGCCTGCTTCCCAGGCTCGGAGAAAAGCCCCTGCCTTCGCTGCCTCCCCGATTGCTTTACATGCAGTAACATCCCTGGTTGTTAAGTACTTGCAGGTGGAGGCGATTCCAGCTTTCTGCACATGGCCTTGCGTTCTGGTATTTCTCTTCCTCAAGCCACATGTGCCCCAGGGCTTGTCTACACAGGGAAACCAAGGAACATTAGTCCATATTAACTGAGGGTGTGAATTCAGCATGGACCAGTTAAACTGCATTCAATCCCCTGTGGATGCACTTCTTCAAAATTAGAGTGGCCTTCCTCTGATTAAGCTTGATTCACTTTGGGAGCAAGTTAAACTCACTTTAATTCTGATTAAGTGCCAACAGGGATTTGATGCATCTTGATGAATATGGTTTTTCATTTGAATCGACTAAGCTTGAACTCACTTTTCTTTGTCCCTGTACAAACAGCCCACAGATAGGGCTTTTGTCATTTCATTGCTGAATCCATGTTCTTTTCCTAGGACTGGATTTTCCATATTTTGTCGTATGAAAGGGATTTGTCAACAAACGTGACTCTGGACAGGTGAGTGAAAGGAAAGAGCTCTCGCCATCTTATCTAAAGAGCCTGCTAACTCTCCAGCAGATCCCAGGACATGGTGCTAGAGGTGAGCCCGGGGAAAAAACAAGTCAGAAGGAAGCAGGTCATGCTAAACCAAAATTCAGCTGGTGAACATTCAGTTCCCAGCAGCGAGGGCTGGTCGGCATACCACATCAGCCGTGTCTCTGATATCGAGCTGCAAAGCCACATGACACGAACCTTCTTGATGCAACTAGTTCTAGCCTGACAGCGAGCACAAGGAAATTGTACTCAGGAACATTTGCTTATCTTTATGCAGGAAATTACTGCCGTTCATTTTTTATAGATAAAACCCAGTCTTGTTTTATGTATTTAGTGCACATGCTTAGTCAGTCTTAGCCCATTGCGGCTCTTAAGGTACCGTGCTGAATCAGAGAGCAAACATGAGGCTGGGTAAAAGAGGTCCAACAAAGACACGTAGAATCAACATGGCAATAGTGCTTGGAGACCAACCTAAAAACGAAACTGTGAGATACCGGATTGATGTATGAGAAAGACCAAGCTCTGGGACAAGCAGTGAGAACATTAACAAGGCTTGCAGGGGAGTTGCCCAAGCTTAGAATAATATTGTTGTCATAAAAGCAGTTTGAGAGAGAAATGAACAGGACGCTGCCATGAGGCACAAGGTTGTCAGGAAAGAGCAACTAGAGGTGATGGACATTGTCCCCTCGATTTCAGCTCTGGAGTCCAGAGCTCCACAGTTGCTGAAGCAATCTGGTTTTGGGGAGGGCTGAGAGCCCATGGGGGTTATTATTTACAAGCCATCGAGCTGTCATTTAGAAGCGTAACTCAAGGGCATCTGTGTTTACAACTCACTTAGAGCTGCTGCAAAGCCGTCCTCCTTCCCGAGCAGCTCTAAAAACCAAAGAGAAAGTGGTGCAGGACACACCAAGCTGAGTATGTCATGCAGATAGTTGTGTCCCCTCACTGGGTTATCTCCAGCAGAGACCTCAGGGCCTGCCCAACACCCCCATGGGCAATCAGCTCTTGGAAAGCTGTTCCAGTCGAGTTCCCCAAGGCTCCCAGTTAGCTGTGCAGTAGATCCAGTCTATGAGGTGCTTGAAAAGCGGGTCCCCCCACAACACCTAATCCCCAGACAACACCATTTCCCCTGCTCTGCATGCCAGGGGGGCTTGCCATAGGAAGGAGATGACGAAGGTCTCCCGCAGCACTGCTTTGCGAGCCTTTTTAGGGAATGTGCATGTTCAGCTGGATCAGTAAAAGCACAGGACAGACAAGACTGGAAACTGAAGGGATTCTTTTGTCGTCACAGACACGGGATCATCAAGCTCAACATTTACTTCCAAGAGTATAACTACAGAACCATCTCGGAATCGGCTGCTACAACCGTAAGTCTGAGACCCGGTTCCTGCTAGGCAACAAGCCTGCCGCGGTGCATTTCCAAGAGGCGGGGACCTGCAGAATACTCGCTGCAGCCTCTCTGCTGCCCCACGCCCCAAGCAGAAGCTATGCAGCCAACAGAGTAAACCTGAAGTGCTGAGGCATCGTGTGCCCTGCTGTGCTGTCCCAGCTACCTGCTGGGAGCAACAGAATCCCTCCTCTGGGTCTACTGCAGCCTTCGTGGTGTTTTCCACAGGCCTGCATTCATTCCTCCCTCCCATTTGCTCCTTTACCCTCCTCCAGAATATGTGTGGGGGGATAGGAGTTGCTCAGAGACAGTGGGAAACATCTCCCCAGGGGGAACATGCTGCCTTCCCAGCACACCAAACCTATAAAGCAAGTGAGTGAGACATGCTACCATGTGCTCTAAACTCTCACATTCCCCTCCTTTAAGCCAAGCAAATAGTTGCCTGATTGCTTCTGGGGCCAAAGGGAAATGCAGTCCTGCCCTGCCCTCCCTCATGCTTCCCTGGCTTCCCTCTTGCAGATCGTCTGGCTGCTGTCCAGCCTGGGAGGCCAGTTTGGGTTCTGGATGGGGGGCTCCGTGCTGTGCCTCATCGAGTTCGGAGAAATCATCATCGATTTCCTGTGGATCACCATCATCAACGGCATCAGCTGGTGCAAGGGCCTGAAGCAGAAGCGTGCCCAGGCTCACTACCCCAACGCCCCTCCAACCGTGTCGGAGCTCGTGGAGGCTCACATCAATTTGGGCTTCCAGTACGAGGACGGCAGCGTCACCCCTGGCAGTGACAACTGCTGCAGTGGACGGCTCCCCCCCGAGCCCGGCACACCTCCCCCTAACTACGACTCACTGCGCGTGCAACCCCTGGACGTCCTCGAGCTGGGGTGCGACACAGAGCCAGAGTGAGCACAACTCCTTCTGGGGCCTGGTCCGGCTTGACACAGCCCCTGCAAGTCACGGAGCAACACTCTGTTAGTTCTCCAGTTTTGCTCAGTTAAACACTTCCCAGTTGCTCCCCTCCGAAACCCCCCCCCTCCTTCCCCACCCGCAAATAAAATGTTCATTGTAAAGACCCTTTATGTATAAACCCAGTGTCCTGTGCTGACCATATTGCCCATGATGTGTGCAACTTGACATAGCACCTGCGTGGTTATAAGATACACCCCAGATTTCTTTCAAGAAGTATTTTTGCTCCCTTGGTTCAAAGTGCTTAATGACAAGCAGTGTCTGTGGTAGATAGCTCCTTGTTAAATGATTTCCCTAAGTAATCCCAGCAACACCCACTCCATCTAACGGGTCAGGATGCCAAGATAGTGCCTACAGCAAGGACAACTGGAGGGTATTAGAAGGGAGAACAATCACAAGGGAAGGACTATCAGGAGAGTGCAGGATGGCATGGGGTGTCTGAGGCCCAACAGCAAGGCTGCTACCAGCAGAGTCCGTGCATCGGGTCTGCCCTCCATCCTGTGCCTGGAACTGAAGTCCTCTGCTGTCCTCATGTTTTTGCTTCAGTGGCCAGAAGTAGCAGCACTGGTTGAAGCGTGTGAGGAGCTGCGTCCCCTGCTTCCTGGAGCCCGTGGGTTGGTGTTCGTGTTCCTGTGCTCATGGCACTGCCGCCTCGTGACTGCCGTCCTGCCTGCAGATGGGCACATTTGTTAATGTGTGATAGAGAGAAATACTTTGGGCTCCAATAAAGACATAGGTGCATGGGGAGGGTGGGGGGGAGCGTCAGGCCACCCAAAGCATCCTCCTTGGCAGGAAGCAGCAGCCAGCTTCATTGACCGGATAAGGGTTGGTCCTTGCAATGGGAGAGGCTGATGACTGGGGCCACCTGCAAGCTTCCCTGGAAAAGCCACCACTAGCCCTGCCCTGCGCCTACTCCTGCCCAGCTCTGTTCTCTTCCTCTTCCCAGGTATTTATACTGTGGGCTTATTTTGCTTTTCCACTGGGAGTTGGAGAGAGACCATGGACTCACCTGCCTCAGAGCCATGCTGTTCCCGGGAGGAAACTATGCTCTGCGTAACCAAAGAGGAGTCATGTTTTATTGCACTCGTTCTGCAGAACTCCAAGAAGCCTGAGCATCGAGCCAGATCACGCGCAGCTCTGCAGTTACCAGCAGTGTGACTCGGAGCACATCACAGCTCCCCAAACCTTGCCTGTACAATGAGGATGATACTTTCCCTGTGACATCAAGTGGCTGGAGAAATTGCAGCCCATTTGCTGGTATAAACCCCCTTTAAGATCCACAGGTGAAAAGTGTTAATTGAATGCAGTCTTGTTGAACAGCTGCAAACTACCACAGGAGAGCACGGCTTCCACACCACCTATCTGCACTCTCTCCATTCACCACAGCGGTGGGCCTCACTACCCGTCACGCTACTGAGCAAGATGCTGCAAGAGCCAGTGCAAAACCTCGAGCGATGCCTGGCACATTTTTGAGGCCCTGTTTTAGGCCAGCAGCCTGTCAGTGGCATTTTACTGTAGGACTTTATGCCCCAAAGTGATAAACACTGATTGATGTTCAGATTCCTTGACAGTGTCAGAGATGACGAGAGCTCAGCACTGTCAATGCAGAGCAGAGCTGCGTCTCCAACAGGCCAAACTCATCCTCGCACTTAGATGCAAGGATGTTGGGTCAAGACCTACTGGGCTGTGAACCAGGACCGAACCCCCTCTGCCCCACAGCAAGAATCGCATGGCAGCTTTGTCACTTGTTGTGAAAGCTTTGTCTTTTCTGGTAAGGATCAGGATCAGGTGGGAATTATTACAGGCATGTAGGTCCAATGACCTGTTCTTTAAGGTCCCAAAGCTGCTCCATTCCCTGGGCCACTGTGGAGACAGCTTTTTTTCCAAGGGTTTTTTTCTGAGGGTTGGGATGTAGCTACTTGGGTTTCTCTCACCATTAGCATTTCTGCAGTGCAGCCACTGTCAGTCTATGCCTGAATTTTTTCCACCACTTGGACAGTTAGATTTCCTGCAGATGGACTAGGGACGATCAGTAAAACCAGTAATAGCTTTCAGATGGGTAGAAACATAGCATGCACACCCTGCGACTAATGAGAATGACAGGGGCTGAGCAGCAAGGACTAATCAGGAACATCCCTTCTGAATTCCATTCATTTACTTAACGACTTTGGCAAATTTCTAGTTGAAAGAAAAAAAAAAGAATTACAGTGAAAGACTTTTACTGCCTGTCTCAGCCCATTAAATACTTCAGCAGATTTATGTCAATTGGCTAATTTACCAGCAGCATGAAGCACTTGGCCTTCACACTGCAGATCCAGTCCGTACTCTCCACCAGCAAATCGCATCTTTTTATTAAAATGCTACTCCAGAAGATCTGGATAGACAAAAATCCCTAATTCTGTACCTTTCAGGAATAAATGTACTGACACGAACATGAGCAACACTTCACCACTGCTCTCCGGCCTCCCCTTGTATCATCTCTTCCACCCTTCTCTCCCATTTAACAAAGGGAACCATCTGACATGAGCTGCAAAATGCACCTGCTTAAGCAAATCTCTTAACACCTGAAGGAAATGGGCACATCAAACACAGCAGCATCATAAATGACTCATGCATTTTAGACCACACTCATCACAGAGAGAAAATTTACCGGATCCCTGCAGATGCCATTCCTGGCATTGCAAAAATGAAACAGGATTCCCCACATTGTGTCAACCCCTGATTGATCCCCTTTGCTCCACAGGAAGTTTCTATTCACAAGAAAACAAGCATACACCTCCCTTTCATTACACAAATGTTTCTTGGGCACAAAGAACTTCTACATTTAAGGTTCTGACACCATCAAAGAAGGTTAATTACTTGGGAAAGACTAGTCTAAGGCTGCCACAGCTGAGCTCCAAAGAGAAGCCTGGACTGGAAGGGAGCTGGCAATGCTACACATGCAACGTCTCACGGACATTATGAGGTTGGCCTCAAACCAGAGAAGGTTAAAAACAACGCAGGTTTGAGTTCTTTATTACTTGACTTCACAGGTCAGGTTTTCCAGCGCCTCTCTGACTGCTAGAAACAAACCTTTTCGAATGAAAGCTGAGATGCGCACGTCACCACATAGTCATAGTTCCAGGAGCTGGAATATCAGGAAGACAAGCCAGCCCCGAAACCCTGATGTCGCTACAAGTTACGGCCAGCAACACATTGGCTATGCAGGAGCCCCGACTAGAAACTGCTTCCTGCTCCTGGTCAGCTTGCAGAGGCACTAAAATCAAGGGATGTAGTGGTCATGGGCGATTTTAATTACCCAGACATCTGCTGGGAGGAGCAGTCAGCCGGGACGGACCGCTCCAGGAGGTTTCTGGCTGAGATGCAGGACCTCCACTTGATTCAGGAGGTGCACAGTCCCACCAGAGGAGATGCCCTGTTGGACCTAGTCCTGGCCGCAGGTGACGACCTGGTAAGGGGCCTCCAGGTTCTTGACCACCTGGGCAATAGTGATCATCGCTTGCTGGAATTCGCCATCCAGCGTAGGGTGTCAAGGGCCC